TTTAAATAAAATTCTTTTTTGCTTCCTGAAATCATACTAATATTTTAATAAAATTCTATATTTTCATTTCTCTTCAGTTTTCAATAGCTTGATCCCAAAATTTTATGCTTTCTTTTTCAAGCTTTCAAAAGGTCACATCTCCAGATTTAATATTTAATTTTCTTCAATAATTTTTCTAAATTTGACAATTATGCAAACTGGAAAAAGAAGAATTCATCCATATGCTCTAAATTTAATTGTGTGATTATGCTTTAATTTTAATTGTGTGAATGGGTTATTTAATACAAATTTTCCATTCATTTATTTTGATGTTTCCTGCCAGATTCTCAATAACTTTGAAATCATTAACACATCCAGATCAAGAACATAATATGGGAAAAACTACTTATTTTCAAAAACTGTGACAAAGATTTGTTGTCACTGTTCCAGATACACATTTCTTTTTTAAATGGCTACAATATGGTACAAATTTTAACTCAAGATAAGTGAACTCTCAATTCAAGCTATAGCTATAGCTTTGAGGAAATCAAGAAAGCTTTTCATTTCATTGCCTTCTAGACAATAATGATTTATTTCATGATCTCAATACATTAAGATGTCAAATTATTCTTTATAGTTAGAAGCCAAGCCTCTATGAGAAAATTTTTAAACTTTGAAATACAAAAATTACATACTAATATATTTCCTAAAATAGGGGTGCCTGGGTGGCTCAGTCGGTTAAGCATCCAACTTTGGCTCAGGTCATGATCTCACGGTTCGTGGGTTCGAGCCCTGCATCTGGCTCTGTGCTGACAGCTAGCTCAGAGCCTGGAGCCTGGATCAGATTCTCTGTCTCCCTCTCTCTCTGACCCTCCCCTGCTCACACTGTCTCTCTCATAAATAAATAAAACATTAGATATATCTATATATTTCCTAAAATAAGAAAAAAAGTAACAAAAATCCCAAAATAAGTTATTACCATCAAAGGATGTCAAATTTTAAATTTTGTTTAAATTTATTAAACAAATAAAAAATTTTGTTTAAAAAGTTTTTTTTTTATATTTTAATAACAGTATAGTTAACATTCAATCTTACACTAGTTTAGGTGTAAAATATAGTGGTTTAACAGTTCTATACATTACTCTGTGACTGTGACAAATATACTCTTTAATTCCCTTCACCTATTTCACTCATCTCTCTACCCATCTCACCTCTGGTAACCACCAGCTTGTTCTCTGTGGGTAATAGTCTTTTTTGGGTCTCTTCTGGACATCCAAATGGCATGAACATGAAACGATGGACATCCACATGAAACGATGCTCAGCATCCCTACTCATCAGGGAAATACAAATCAAAACCACACTGAGATATCACCTCATGCCAGTCAGAGTGGCTAAAATGAGCAAATCAGAGAACTCTAGATGCTGGCGAGGATGTGGAGAAATGGGCACCCTCCTACACTGTTGGTGGGAATGCAAACTGGTGCAGCCCCTCTGGAAAACAGTGTGGAGGTTCCTCAGGAAACTAACAATAGAACTCCCCTATGACCCAGCAATAACACTGCTAGGAATTTACCCAAGGGATACAGAAATGCTGAGGCATAGGAGCACATGGACCCCAATGTTCATAGCAGCACTCTCCACAATAGCTAAAACATGGAAAGAGCCTAAGTGTCCATCAACGGACGAATGGATCAAGAAGATGTGGTTTATCTATACCATGGAATACTACATGGCAATGAGAAACAATGAAATCTGGCCATGTGTAGCAACATGGATGGACCTTGAGGGTGTTATGCTGAGCGAAATAAGTCAGGCAGAGAAGGACAAATATCATATGTTTGCACGTATAGGAGGATTAGGAGGAACTTAACTGAGAAACAAGGGGGAGAAGAAAGGGGGAAATGGTAGGGGAAAGGGAGAGAGGCAAACCATGAGAGACTATTGAATGCTGACAAAGACTGAGGACTGATGGATGTGGGGGGAGGGAGGGGGGTTGGGCACGGAGGAGGGCACTTGTGGGGATGAGCACTGGATGTTATGTGGAAACCAATTTGACAATACACTATTTGAAGAAAAAAAGTGCTTCTAGGGGGCACCTCGGTGGCTCAGTAGATAAGCATCCAGCTTCAGATAAGGTCATGATCTCACGGTTTGTGGGTTTGAGGCCCATGTCAGATTCTGTGCTGATGGTTCAGGGCCTGGATCCTTCTTCAGATTCTGTGTCCCCCTCTTTGTCTCTGCACTTCTCCTCACCCAAAATAAACATTAAAACAAATTTAAAAAAATAGAAATTGCATCTACTGTGTAAGTGCATCAAAACATGAAATTCAAGGGGCATTTGGGTGGCTCAGTCTGTTGAGTATCCAACCTTGGCTCAGGTCATGATCTCACAGTTTGAGTTCAAGCTCTGCATCAGGCTCTCTGCTGTCAGCTCGGAGCCCCCCTTAGATCCTCTTTGTCCCTGTCTCTCGGCCTCTCCCAACTCGTGCTCTCTCTTAAAAATAAACATTTAAACAAATATGAAATTCAAAATCTTCTTTACATCTACCACATATTTGTTAACTGCTTGTCCTATCAGGATATTACTTGTAGCTTGAAGCCTTTAAAAAAGTTAGCAGGCACTAACGTTTAAAAGTTGTCTCTGGTAATATCACCAGTCACGGCTGAGAGAGGGTGCAGGACTATTAGAAGCAAACTGGATTTCAACCCTGCTTCTGAGAGGCAGCTCTGACTACAAAGGGCAGTCAAGTCTCTGCAGTCTCATAGCAGGAGCAATGCCGTGCATTCTTAGGCTCAGTTATTGTATTTTTACATGTGTGTACTTCATAAAAATAGGCACTTTTATGCTCCTGTTAAATGGGATCTCCTATGTGAATTACTTGGTGAAGGCAACTAAAGCATTATTGCCTAAGGAACTCATTAAGTGTAGATATATAGATCTCCTATCTCCATCCATGTCTGTAAGTATGTATGTATACATGTATCTATCTATCTACTATGTTTCTATCCTTATTTACAGAACAAAACAACAAGGATTTAAATTAATTCCCTACCCTATTTTATTTTAGCCTTTCCACAATCTTGCAAGGTAAATAGTCCATGGAAAAAGCATTGAGTTTTTTCCGAGACACTTGAAAGATGGCTCTACTGTTTGTCATTGTGCAACCAAGAAATGGTGCAGGGAATTCCACCCCCATCTTCTCTGTCCTCCTCTCTTACCTCCCTTTGCGGACTCTATTCCAGGCATATTAGTTTATAATTTCTCCCTGAGGATATCAGGTACCTTTCCTCTGAGCTTTTGCAGTGGTTATTCCCGTTATCTGGAATGCTCTTCCCTCAGACATTTGTTTCATTCACCTCCCTCTGGCCTGTTCACATCCCACCTTCCTAGTGAGGCTTATCCTGTCCGCCGTTTAAATTGAATGCAGTGGTTCTGCTTGTAATGTCAATGCTCCATATGCTGTTTTATTCTCCATAACATTAGTCACTGGCTAACCTATTAGATAATTTGCATGTTTGTATCTCTGCTCCCCTGCGCCTAGAATGTAGGCTCCACACAGTCAAGAATTTTTCCTTTTTTAAGTCCAGTGGAGATCCAGCAAAAAAAGTCTAGGGACAACCAGAACCGGGCACAATTCTAACTTGTGTGATTTGATACTTTAGCAACTTAGATCAGAGCCGAGCCAGTTACTGAAGAGAATTTCTTCTACTGCATTTAAGTAGCAGAATAAACTCAAAGAAACTGAAATTTCCAACAATTACAGAGCAGGTATTAGCTGTTTCTCCATTTGTTCCTCCAGGCACAAATCTATCCTCCCTGGGTGATGAGGGAATGTGCAAGAATGACTGGCCTAAGTCTAAATTAAATATGAAGACATACAAGAAAACATTTCTTAAAAAAAAAAATCATTGTGGTTTCCTTTGAAACACCAGGGGTTATCTAGCCTCTAGTAAGGTCAGAGCGGGTAGAGAGAAGAGCAAAACACAGAGGGAAGGGGCAAGGGTTAGTCTCCTCATCTTTCCCTCTTTTGTACCTTACTCCCTTCTGGACTGTCATCCCTTACATTCAAAATGCAGACTGTAGACGGCAGCGCATGCAGGTAGAACATGTAGCCACTTCCACATCCCAGTCACTGTGACGTGGGAAATTCTGCATCCTTAAGTGTGGCTCAACCCATCACCATTCACACAGGTTAATCCTTTCTCTACTGCTGAGTCAAAAAGAAACAAGAGTGAAGGCAGATTAATAAGAACAAAGTTTTATACACATATGTGTATAAGTACACAATGTGGGAAGGAGAACAGCCCACTGAGGCAAATCAGTTGGGGAAACCACTACAGACAGCAGTGGTCTCCTGCCGGTTCCAAGACCAGAGGAAACTGGCCAGGAGCTTGGGTCAGCCGCGTTCACGGTCACGCCAGGGAAGGCACAGTTGGTGATTGATGCAACTTTCTTCTATTTTCCACCATTGGAACTTCTTGAATCTGGTGTTGTTCTGGAGTAGTTCTACACTGGGGCTCATGCGCCCCTCGCCCTCCAAAACACACACGTGCACAGAACAACACAAAAATACACATGTGCACACAAGGTACACACTTGCCGTATGAAGAGATCAGGTTAAGTGTCACTTAAAGGGGTTGGGCCCCTTTCTGGTGCAACAAAGTCCATTTCCAGTTATATACAATTTGCAAGGAATCTTTGGTCGTTATTTGTTGAGATTCATGACGAGAAGAAGGAATTGTTTGGTGGCTCTGATGAAGCCCTAGGCAGGTTATGAAGGTGTTCTAGTCATGCCCAGAGCACAGGCACAGGTGACCAGGATAAACACAGTGCTTGCTCCTCCAGAGGGGCACCTGGCTAGGGCGAGCCCAAGTGCTGTTTAAAATTTCACGGTGGTGTCCCCCATCGCACGACCTGCACTGTGCTTAGCGGGGGCACATGCGCTGTGTGCGGATGAGGTTCCGTAAGTGTATCCAGTCATAGCAGGTGTGGGGTTCTTCCCCGGAGCACCACCTGTGTTAGGGGTTAAGTGAGCTCCCCATGTTCTTCGGGGGGGTGCTGACAGAGAGGCCTGCCATCATAGATGTGATAGTGTCCACATCTGCGACAGCTCCTGCTGGATCTGCCTTGGGTCCTCCACAATTATTCTTCTGGGAAGCACGAGTACCAGGTCCTCCCATTGTGACAATGACCTTGTCCCCTCCATGTTTACTGACTGTCTGCTGGGCAGGTGGACCGCCGTTACTGGGAGGGACCATGGAACTACATGTGGATGTGGCTCCAAGTACAGACACAGTGCTGCCACTTGCCACTGCGACAGAGGCAGTGTGGGCCGGCAAGCTGCAGGGGATCTGTGGGGGGTGAACGCACACGTCTCTTGACACGCGTGTGGCTCTTCCACATGGAGCGATGGGATTTTGCGTAGATGAATCCTGGGAGCGATTATGGGTCCCAGGAGCAGCTGAAGCTCTGTCTCTGGGAGGACCGTAGCCGTCTCCCCCTGCTCCACCCCCTGCGTTGTTGACAGTTGGACTCTTGCTCTGCTTTTTGGAGGTGACTGACTTGCCTCTTGTCACATCTTTTTTGTCCACAGTTGTGGCTCTTTCATGTGAATCAGGTTTCTTTTGTAACGATGGGTCCAAGGTAGGTTTATGGCTGCCAAGAACAGCTGAAGCTCCATCTCTGGGTGGACAGTGGCCGTCTCCCACTGCTCCACCACCTGGGTTTTTGAAGGTTGGCCCCTTGCTGCTTGGATTAAAGGAGGAGGCTGCCTGATCTCCTGACTGGCACCTCTTCTCCCAGATGGCAACACATGCAGATGGGGGGTGTTTTCTCTGCCTGGATGGGCCCCCAGTACACTTACCAGTCATGGAGACTGTAGAGTCTCTACCTGTGGGCATGCTGCCGTCTCGGCCCACTGCTCCACTAACTGGCAACGTGGGTGGGCCCCCAGTGCCTGGATTTAAGGTGGAAGTAGCATGGTGTCCCAATGCTACCTGGGCCACAACAGTCCTGCTATCGGGTGGTGTCTTCTTAGATCCCGGAACCACTATGTAAGGTGGCACATGGGTGTCCCTGGACACAGGGGAGGAATACATGATGGAAGCCTGAGATGGAGACGTAGTGTCCATGGCTTCACCTTCAGAAGCTGAGTGACAGTTTGCAGGGAGCTTGCCTACTGGAGTGGAGGTGACACCAGAACCCCCAAGGGGCAAGCTAGTGGAAACTGCAACACCTGGTGGTAAAGATGGAGGAACAGATGGGATTGGGGGCCTGGCAGGTTGGTCAGCCAAGCCCGCTGGAGCAATAGGGACTTGCACAGTGTTCATGCTGGATGGGAGACAGTTAGCAGTCCCTGTTGCAAGTATGGAGAATGCAGGGGCAGGCAGAGGGTCCGAGCAGGCTGCTTTGATGTCTCTTCTGTCCCCCAAGATGTTGTTCCTCTGACATGTGGTGTTCTTCACGGTGTCCAGATTTTTGTCCAGAGCTATGCAAGGAAGCTTAGGAGGCGAGGCAGAGGCAACTCCTCGCTGTCCCACAACAGTGGCTGTGGTGGTGGCAGTGGCAGAGAAGGTGGCATGGGTCTCTTCCGTTTGCAGGCCCTGCTGCTGGCAGCTACGGGGGGCAAGGAGCTCCTTGATGACATGTCTGAAGGCTCCTTAGTCTGTTTCTCTTTCTTGCCGACAGGCTGATGGTTTCCCCGACAATTCTTTGGCTGATGTCTCCTGCAGTGAGGGGCAGCATGGGGCTGGGTGGGAGAGCACGGCTGCATCTGTGTGAGGCACATCTCTGGCAGGGCCATGCGAGGTGGTGACTCCATGGCCGTCAGGGGAGGAGTGAATCTGATCCTGGTGGGTGTCCTTCCTCCTACTGTCTTCTGAAGGACCAGGACGGAGGTCCAAAGGCTCAGGGCTGTGCTGCCTGGAGCTAAGTTCACTGGCCTCCAGGGGACGAGATGTTAACTGTATATCCCCGCAGTTATGGGGGGCTCTGCTCCCACCATCCCGCCCTTTGGTCTCCACAGGTTCCCCCATCTTTCCTGTGGATTCTTTTTGGGTCTTCTCCTCCCTCCCATTTGGGCACGAAAGTGGGAGGCCCCTGGATGGGACCGGCTCCGCAGCCCCCTCTCCAGTCTCTGATGGCAAACGCTGGAGTCTTAATTTGCGCCCTGGAGGAGGGATTCTGATGGCTCTGGAGTGCCCAAACATCATCGAATTACGAGACGATAGGACAGGTTTTTTCGGAGGGTTACTCCAGTTACCCAAGGGGAGGATGCTCGGAGTGGTCCATGCAGCCTGCGGGATGGGGTACCGCCTCCTCGGCTCGATATGAAAGGTGGCCGGTAAAGGCCTACGTACCTGGTGGAAGAGCCTGCGCCCAGGGTGCAGGGCAGGTGAAGGAGCAGCGGGGTGGCCCCTGCCGGGTGGTGGATGGGGATCACCGGCGGGGCGGACCAGGGCCCGATCCCGGCCAGGCAGGGGACGGCGGTGGCGGCGTGGGAGATGTAGACATTTACTAGGGAGACTGCCCATAGTGAGCTGGTTGTGCGCCCAACGACCGTGAGGTTGGAGTCTAGAGCCCCTCCGGAGCTTCCCACTCCTCTTGTGGTCAAACACGCACTGAGCCTGAATGGCCCAGCCTGGCCCTAGTGATGCATCCCTGGGACACGTCACAAAGAAGGGCGCACATGCGCAGCGCGGCAAGAGACCCCATCACAGGGCAAAGAGGAGGCCTCTGAGCCCCGCCGGTTAGGCTCCAGTGCCTGGGACTTGCGGTCGCCAGTGGCGGGGTATAGGCTGCCTGCTGCCCTCGGTCCGTGCGCCCGTTGTCGTGTGTGGACAACCAGCAAGGCCACAGCGTGGGGACTGTAGGTGAGTGCCGTGGTTGTCGGGCCCCTCAGCGCCTCGGTGTGTGTCGCCAGCCCTTCCCCCAAGAAAGACGAGTGCTGGGGGGCTCTCAAAGTTGCAAGGGAGTGGCCTGCTGCCCCTGGACCGTCTCTGCTTCCCTGCGAGGCTTCGAGCCAGCTGCATCTTCACTGGGGCTGCCCAGGCTTTCAGCATCTCCCTCCAGACAGCGGCAGTTTCCAAGAGGTCGCCAAACACTGACCTGACCGGATGCTGCGCCCCAAGACCTCACTTCCTGGCAGGCAAGTCCTTGCTTTCTTCCTTTTGAGGAATTTGGCAAAATAGCATTTACAATTTAGACCGCCCCTCAGGTCACACAGGTGATGGTTCAGTTAGGATTCAAGCCCAGGGTAGTGACTCCCAGAGCTCTTACTCTGAACTGTGGTGCCTCCTTACCATATATGCATCACGTGTTATCATCTTTTTCTTTTTCCTAGTTCTTAGGGTACTTAGCAGGTGCCATATTTACAGTAAGGAGAGGCACTGCCCAGGACCAGGCCTTCGTTGAACAAAAGCTCAAATCATAAAATAATCGGGACCACAGTGGGTTCTGGTCTCAGAAGATGTAGGTCATGGACCACCAGTGGTAAATATAGAAAATTCGTTCTGCTTCAGTGAAACACTTCTTTTGTATAGTATATGAAATAGTAATCATCTGTGTCTTAATATAATGAAAATACTCATTAAAAGTAATTAAATGTTCAGGGGCACCTAGGTGGCTCAGTCGGTTAAGCTTCCGACTTCTGCTCAGGTTATGGTCTCAGGTAATGATCTTGCCGTTTGTGAGTTCAAGCTCCACATCTGGCTCTGTGCTGATAGCTCAGAGTTTAAGGCCTGCTTCAGATTCTCTATCTCCTCCTTTCTCTGACCTCCCCCACTTGCACTCTGTCTCTCTCAAAAATAAGTTTAAAAACATTAGAAAAAAATTTTTAAGTTCCATAGCAGCAACATAATTGCCAAAGTAGTTCCTACCCCTTAGGAGAAGGTATGCCGTAGTTGAGCCAGAGGACGGGTTGTACTCCTTCCATTCAACCTCCAAGTAACAAATAGAAAAGTACACTCCACTCCGGACATACAGTCATGTTACACACAGAAAAGTATGCACAGTTTGTTGAGTATGCTCACCTCTCAATATGATTCCATAAGTAGCCATCCCCAGGGTCCCAGAAATGTCTTTCAGTCAAACTATCTTCCCACCCAATTTGTTCCTTGATTCCACCTGATATTTTAGGTATCCCAGCTCACAGTGTTTCTCAGATTATATTCCAGAGCTGTGGCTAAAGGAAAGTCTGGTGTGTTATGGATGGAAGGGCATCATAGTTAACCCCTGCAGAAATTTAGTTATGGTAGAAGATGTAGTGATTTTTCCAACATTTTTAAAACAGCGTATTTTGAGGCACTACCCACTACATGATTTTGCAATGAGAAATAAATATACAATGTTACACTCTTTTGGACTACAGTTTCATGCAATCCATTCACACGTATTCATTTTATTTTGGAAACAAGAGTATGAGTCTGGAAGGAAAAGGTTCATTTCTTTCTTATTTTGCAAAAGAGTAACCTATAATGTAGAGAGGTTAAAGAGTTTAGTTGAGCACAGTTCACAAAAGAACTTGAATATGAAAATTTTGGCTCACAGACAGATGTGGGGATGATAGAATCTAGAAAATATAGGACTGGTAATGTTGCTCAGAAGCAAAGTGGGTCCAGATATCATAAATGAGTAGCAAGTTTTGAGTGATACCCACAGAAGCCTGATCCACAGAGATCTATGATAATTTTGAGAGCTCAGTGTTAAGGGCAAGATTGATGGGCATCCCGTAAGGCACTACTCATTCTATACAACCAAAAGAAATCAAGGACAGGCAGTCAAGAGAAGAAGGCAGCAATCCCACTACAAACACAATCCTTGGGCAGTTTCTGCACCTGAGCCAGAACCCCCTGATTCAAGTAGAGGACAGTCCACACAAGGAACAACACTGTGACACCTCAGATGTATATGAAAGAGACTCCATATTCCTCTCTCCGAAGGACCTATGCCATTTACTTGTTTACATATATACTCAGTAAAGGGGAACATACAGACATTTTGAATGAGTACATACCAAATTTAAGGAAACTTGGAAAGGCAATCTTAGTGCCTCTTCACCCTGGGGAATCATAACTACATCTTTCAACCACTTTGCAATTCAACTCTCTCCATCTATAGCTACCTAATCTCTTTTTTCTGTGGGCACCTCCCAGTAAAATTCCTGCAGGCAAGTCTGTTTCCTAAGGAATTCCACTTAAGACAGATGTTAAACTTTGGCATCATTTGAATAAATTAGTAAAACACAAAATAGCTACCATTTATATTTATCAGATTGGCAAGGTTAAAAGATTAATCTGATACAGTATTGTTAAGGATGTGAAAACAGCCATTCAGAATCTGTTAAAGAGCATCTAAATTAACACTGAATTTCTTGGGGGCCATTTAGAAAAACATATTCAAAATGCACAAGCATGGATTCTAACAATTCTTCTCTTAGAAATAGCAAATTATGAAAAACGTGAAGATATTATATATGTAAGTTTTTCACTTCAGCATTGTTCATGACAATAGTTTGGAATTCTTTAGGAAAAAAAGTTTTGTTATATCCATATGCTTATATCATGTATCAAGGACTACACAGCTTTTTATGATATATCTGTATGTGTATATATTTGCATGTTATTTAAATAGCATAAACGTATCTGAAGTAATTGGTAAAATATTAAGTATTCAGCAAAATAAGTAAAAACACTTGGATATATTAGTATGAGCCTAATATAATGCAGAAAACAATAATATTTTAGGCATGCTATACTATCATTTATAGCATGATATCAGGTTTATATGATTTTCATTTCTTAATGAAAATTAAGAACAAAGAACAAAGCTATTTTATTATTTATTATTTGTTAAAAAAAGAAAATGATTATAAAGTTTGGGTATTTATTTTAGAGTCTTTGATCTAAATAATCAATTTAAAAATTCACCACAAATTGTCTTATGTAATATAATTTAGCTTTCATGGAACAGATGAGAAAATCATGGTGTGTATAAGTACATTATTCTTAGAAAGAACAATAAATTAAAATGTTTCCTCTACTCTGTCTTCATCTAAAATTTTACCTCCAGATTAGATTTTATAAATGACAGATAACAGAAGAAATACCAAAGGGGACTCATGTCTCCTTTTTCACAACCTTTCCTTTGTTTTACTATTCTCCCTTTAATTTTCTTTTCTTTTTTTTTTTCCTTCAATTTCAATGTGGACTTTTGCCTATCGTTATCAGATCAAAGCTCTTACACTGATAAAATGAGATAATTACCATGCACAGTGGCTGTTATATAGGAAAGTTGTAATATATATTAATCATGTGGATTATTAGCAATCACTGGAATTGTTTAACCTGGTTGATAGGAAATAGGATGATCTTTTTGTCTGTGAAGTTTCCATGTTTCTGTCCAATAATTCTCTCTGAAATAGAAGTGCAATACAGGGGCTTGATGTTCTCAGAATAATGCTCTCTTAAATCTTCCTGGCACTAACAGCGTAAGTACTTACTATAAAAGCCCAAGTCCCTGCCCACAGCAGTCCAGCGAGAAAATTGCTTATTGTATATATCTTTTGTGTATGTTGCTTGCCATGACAGAGGGGAACAAGAAAGAAAGGGAGTTTCAACTACATCAAATTACGGCCGATATTGATAGAGTAAAATACGCACATGTAGTTGGGGAGATGAAGGAAAAAAACACCTCAGCATTTTCACAAAGAAATCTACCCTCTGTCAGACATGCCGAGGGGGCACAGGAGCCCCCAGAGCTTATGAGGCCAGAGAAGAGATGGATAGTTTAAAGAGAAAAGTAAAGTGACATAAGAAATCAAAGAATATTTTACCCTCAGAAAGAAAATCAATGAAAATGATGAACTGCTATTCAAAGGAAATAAACTGATTATTTCAGTTTCCACAAGAAGGGAGGTGCTGCGGGTAATCCATCAGCATGAGCAGGATGTTGGAAGGTGAGGGAGGAAGGCTCGATGTGATAGTCAATCTCTCATATTCTAGCCCCAAAATGAAAATATTAGATGTGGGAAACACAATTTATAATGAATTCCCTTAGTGCAGTAAAGCCCACTGGCATGTATATATTTTCGAACTCTTTTCTACTTTCATACTTCATAAGTGAGAATCTCCAACAATATTAAAGACACATTAATGCACACATGCAGCATTTAAAAAATGATAAAATGAATCCTCATATACTTACTAAACAACTTAAATAGGACTTTATCAATAGTTCTGTGGATTTTCATCATGATGTCCCCCTGCCTCCTTTACCCCAGCAGGAGAAGATAACCATTTTTCTGACTTCCTATGTAATCATGTATTTGATTTTGTTTATAGATGTCAACTGTGTATGTATATATACACACATATACACACAACATATCAATTTTTGAGAGAGAGAGAGCGAGCAGGGGAGGGGCAGAGAGACACGGAATCCAAAGCAGGTTCCAGGCTCTGAGCTGTCAGTACAAATCCCAAGTGGGGCTCGAATCCACAAACTGTGAAATCGTGACCTGAGCTGAAGTCAGATG